GCTTGACTTGATTTGGCCACAGGTCATGATTCAGGGTTGTGAGGTCGGGCCCTGCGCTCATTTCTCTCCCTCTCCCTGTGCTTCTTTCCTCACTTGCAGGCTCGTGTGTGCACTCTCTATCAAATAAATAAATAAATGAAATCTTTGGGAAAAAAAAGAAAAGGATTGATACTCTTTTTTTTTTTTTTTCCTGGAGAGGGAGAGTCTTAGGCAGGTTCAGTGCCCAGCAAGGAGCCTGTGGCGGGGCTTGATCTCACGACCCTGAGATCATGACCTGAGCCAAAATCAAGAGTTGGATGCTACTCCTGACTGAGCCACTCTGGCACCCTGATATTCATTCTTTTTTTTTTTTTTTTAAAGATTTTATTTATTTATTTGAGAGAGAAAGAATGAGACAGAGAGAGTGCATGAGAGGGGGGAGGGTCAGAGGGAGAAGCAGACTCCCTGATGAGCAGGGAGCCTGATGCGGGACTCGATATCACGACTCCAGGATCATGACCTGAGCTGAAGGCAGACACTTAACCAACTGAGCGACCCAGGCACCCCCGATATTCATTCTTTTTTGAATGTTTGGTGGAATTCACCAATGCAGCCATCTGGTTCTAGACTTTTTTTTTTTTAAGATTTTATTTATTTATTTGACAGAGAGAGAGAGTGAGAGAACACAAGCAGGCGGAGGGGCAGAGGAAGAGGGAGAAGCAGGCTCCCGCCGAGCAGGGAGCCTGATGGGGGTTGGGGGGGCTTCAATCCCAGGACCCTGGGATCATGACTTAAGCCCAAAACAGATGCTTAGCCGACTGAGCCACCCACGTGCCCCTAGATTTTTTTTTGTTGCAAGTTTTTTATATTAATGATTCAGTTTCATTATTGGTAATCAGTCTGTTCAGATATCTGCTTCTTTCTGATTCAGTCTTGGAAGATTGTATGTTTTCAGGAATTTATCTATTTCTTTTGGTTTTCTAGTTTGTTGGCATACAATTTTTTATAGTAGTCTCTTAAAATCTCTTGTATTTCTGTGGTGTTAGTTGTAACTTCTCTTTCATTTCTGATTTTGAGTCCTCTCTTTCTTTCTTAATGAGTCTAGCAGATATTCACTTAATAATTTTATTTATTTAAGTGCATTTTTTTGTGCATTATACTATTACTTAGAAAAAAATGGGTTAAAACTATTTGTATTCTCTTGTAAGTTGGTATTTAAAAAAAAAAAACACCTTATATTTTGGACAACTTTCCATGTTACCGTGTATTTTTATTTTCACAAATTTGTAATACTTTATAATTGATTTAGCCAATCTTTTATTGCTAAACATTTAGCTTGTCCTATGTTTTTGAGTTTTATAAAGAGTGCTGCAGTCAGTATCCTTGTAGATGTATCTTTGTACACTTGAACAAGTTTTTCTGTTCCACAAAGTGTCTTATTTTTTTTCCTGCAGATGTTGTGGAAGCAAGTTCACAATTACCCAATGTTTAACCTCCTTATGGAAATTGACTCCTATATGTTTGCATGTGTGAATCAAACTGCTGTATATGAGGAACTTGAAGATGAAACAAGAAGACTCTGTGATGTCAGACCTTTTCTTCCAGTTCTCAAATTAGTGACAAGAAGTTGTGACCCAGGGGAAAAATTAGACTCAAAAATTGGAGTCCTGATAGGAAAAGGTAACTTAAAAACGTCTTGGTATGAATTCTTTACATATTTGTTGTTGTATGTATAAACATGTAGTAAGTATGATCAAAGATACTGCTTTGTAGAGTGTGACTCAAGGACCAATACTTGTTTGTAAATTGATAACCAGTCTGAGATAATGTAAGTGTAAAAATTGAGAGTAAATGTTTTAAATTCCTGTAGCAATGTGATAACCCCTGGGACACTGTGGTAATATGTTTTGTATGTCTTTTTCTAGTGACTTTTTCATTTGCCGAAGTATTGTTTTTTTGGCAGATTGGAAAGAAAAAAGTTGTCCCTTTGTCTTAGTTTGAGAAGCCCTTTTCTAAGAGATACATCCTCCATTTCTTTTGAACTGCTTCTACACTATACACACTATTTATTTTTTTAAAATTTTATTTTATTACATTAGTCACCATACAATACATCATTAGTTTTTGATGTAGTGATCCACGATATAAACACAATTTATATACAACTCTCTATACCAAGACTTTAAGCTGATTGAAAAGTTTCTATAAATAACCCACATTTTTGACAATTTTACTCCTTAACTAAAATTGTCTTTAAGTAGAGATTTTTTTTTTAAAGATTTTATTTATTTATTTGACAGAGAGAGACACAGCAAGAGAGGGAACACAAATAGGGGGAGTGGGAGAGGGAGAAGCAGGCTTCCCACTGACCAGGGAGCCTGACACGGGGCTCGATCCCAGGACCCCGGGATCATGACCTGAGCTGAAGGCAGACGCTTAACGACTGAGCCACCCAGGTGCCCCAGTAGAGATATTTTTGTAGGGAGTCAAGATATATTAATTCCAGGGAGAATTGTGAGTAACAAAATGTGGTAGAGGCTCTCTTGCTATAATAATGTTAGGTGTCACAGGGGCCAGTGGTATATCAATATCCTGCTTTAGACAAGGTACTAGAATTAAGTACTATAAGAGGACACTTCAAGTTTGTTTATTTATTTTGAAGTAGCAGGTTTGTATTGTTGTTTTCATTTTTATTTTATTTTTTAAGAGACTTGACATTTAAATACAAAACCAAACAATCCACTGGAGGTTTTTGGATTTGGATTCGCCTCTTGTATTGATTAAATTCACTCTTATAAGATAATATAGTACCATTCCATTTAGTATTATAAGTATCTTCAAGATAACCTAGTATCATCCCCTCTAAAAACCATGTGCTGTAAGATTGCATTCTTTGATCTTGACCTGTAGTTATTCGGGCTAACTAATGATTACAAATGCAGGGCTACATTCTTCCCTCTGAGTATTTAGAACAGAACCTTGTTGATTTACTGAATGACAGCCTAGTATGTATTTCTTTCTCTTTTCTTTTCTCTTTTTTTAAGTAGGGTCCATGCTGGGCCTGCCAATGCCAGGTTTGAACTCACAACCCTGAGATCAAGACCTGAGCTGAGATTAAGAGTCAGATACCTAACAGACTGAGCCACCCAGGTACCCAGACAGCCTAGTATTTAAAAAGGTTTGATTACTTCAAAGGATAGCTTGTTTGCTTTAGGCAGTAATTTTTTACCGCTTCAATAAGTTTGTAATTACTTACAAGATTTTTTCTTTCTTTTTTTTGTTTTTTTAAATTTTATTTTTTTTATTTTTAAGTAATCTCCACACCCTGCATGGGGCTTGAACTCATAACCCCGAGATCAGGAGTCACATGCTCCACTGACTGAGCCATCCAGGAGCCCCCACAATTTTCTTACATATTAATGGCCTCACTAGAAAGCATTCCTTTCCATTTGCTAGAACTCCAAAGATTTTTTTGATAAATTTTAAATTCTCCATTACAAAAAGTCTCTCCTTTGTTTGAATTGAAGAATATATGGAAAAGTAAAAAAGAATAATCAATCACTTACAGTCTTATTGAAGACAAGAATATCCACTGATAATATTGAGATATAGTTCTTTCCAAGTGGCTTTGTATGTGTGTATGAAATATATAGCTTTTATGTTTCCCTGCTGATGGAAGCAAGTAGACCAGAACCACACTGATTGTTAAATATTTGATAACCCAAAAGGTTAGCACCACAGAGAGAGCTAACTTTTGTCAGGATATAGGTATCTTTTTGAGATGTACCATGTTTTCAAAACTTAGATCACTGCACTGTCTTCTAGTTGTGATCTTCCAAAAATATGGGCTCATTAGCCACTGTTATCTCTACATGAACTTGGCAGATTTAGCAAATAAAAATATACTAGATGCAAATATGGGATATACTTAATGATAAAAATCATTCATTGTTTATCTAAAATTCAAATAGAATTGGGCATGCTGTTTTTTTTATTTGGCGACCCTGACTTTACCTTGCCACAGTGCAGGGGTAATACATATATACATATATATAAATTGAATTTTTATTTCTATAAGCAGTGTGACCATACTTCGTTCTGTATCATAAAGTTTATTATATACAGATTTTTAATGCAGTGTGCCCTGCAATTTGAATGATCAAGATGCAAGCTGTGTTTTATATTAAATTGAACAGTTTATGGGGCACCTGGGTGGCTCAGTTGGTTAAGCATCTGCCTTCGGCTCAGGTCATGATCCCCGGATCCTGGGATCAAGCCCCTCATTGGGCTCCCTGCTCAGTGGGGAGCCTGCTTCTCCGCAGCTCTCCATGCTTGTGCTTGCTCTGTCTCTCTGTCAAATAAATAAGTAAAATCTTAAAAAAAATAAATTGAACAGTTTATAAACTCTAAACTCTAAATTGTACTTTAGATTTTCAGCATTTCTAGAAAACCTGGTGTTAATGATCATATACACAGATTCAAGTGTTAACATGCATTTAGGAAGTTGAGTAAGTCTGTTTTAATATTTTAGAATGAATTTTCACTTTAGGTACCTAACAAGTCAGTGTTTGCAGTTGCTAATTTGTATGTGATGACTACAACCGGGACTTGGTGAGGTCATGCCTCTTGGTAAAACAATAAACAATTATTTCAGTTTAACTTCAGGAACAAGTTTGCTGCCTCCTCCTCTCCAAAGAAAACAATAGAACCTTTACAGATGTAACTGCCCTGGTGGGTCTAAAAATACCTTTTCCTGAATGATGATGTGTCTGATCATTTTATTTTTTATTTACAGAGCTTCTGTTCGGCCTCTGATTATGCTCCGTGGTGAAGGTCACCCCTTCAAATACCCATTAGTAAATCTTGATCAGAGGATTTTTTTCAGCATCCTGAAAAAAAAAAAATTGGAAAACTCCCTTATTTTTTCCCTGACCTATATAAAGTTGTGTTATATTTTAAAGTGAAGGAAATATAGAGTCTGCATGATTTTAACACTATCTTTAATGTGAAGAAATTATTCACTCAATACCTTTTTTTAAGATGTTATTTATTTATTTATTTATTTAATTCAGAGAGAGAGAGAGCACACAAGCAAGGGAAGTGGCAGGGAGAGGGAGAAGCAGGCTCCCTGCTGGGAGTCAGATGTGGGGCTCAATCCCAGGACCCCGGGACCATGACCTGAGCCAAAGGCAGATGGGTAACCAACTGAACCATCCAGGCGCCCCCACTCAGTACTTTTTTTATGTGAAAAAATTATATTTGGGGCACCTGGTTGCTCAGCTGGTTAAACATCTCACTTTTGATCTCAGCTCAGGTCTTGATCTCAGGGTTGTGAGTTCAAGCCTTGAGTTAGGCTCCATGCCGGGTGGGATTCCTACTTAAAAAAAAAATTATATTTGACTGTAAATGATACAATATTTTTATCTTAAAATTTGCTATCAAATTTTCTTATCAGAAGGCATGTAGAAATTAACTAGGTTGAAAATTAAATTACTTGACCTAATTGTTTTGTTTATTTTTTAAGTAATCTCTACATCCACTGTGGGGCTTGACCTCACAACCTGGAGATTAAGGGTTGCATGCTCTTCCGATTGAGCTAGCCAGGCACCCCCCTAATTTCTTATTTTTGGCGAAGTTTCTATTTTTAAGAAATCTTTGTAATGGTTTCTAAATTCAAGTTTTATTTATTTATTTTTAAAGTAGATTCTCAGAGATTGAGATTCAGTGAGTCTGGGATGAATTAAAGAAATCTGTACTTTTCAGTTGGTTCTAACAGTTATGTGAGCAAAGCTTCTTATTTATAATATATTGAAAAAATGACCAAAGCAGTAGCAATTGCAGTTCAACAGTATATATCAAATGTTTTTAATTGGGACTACAGCAGTGAACTCGGGTGATAATTATGGTCTTTGTCTGCTTGGAGCTCACAGTGCTGTAGGAAATAGGGATCAGTAAATAGACAATTACAATACAGTGTGTAAACTGCTATAAGTCAAGGATGTAAAATCAACTGAGAGAGGGTTGGCCTTATAGAAGACACACAACTAAACTGTGCCTTCAGTGCTGATGACTAGTTGAACAGGTAGAAGGAGTTGGAAGAAGGATAATCAAATGGGAATGGCATGTGTGAAGAATGGCCTATTCAAGGAATAAAAGTAATTGGTTATGGTTTGCGTCAAGGGACAGCTAGGACAAGCAGGAAGATGAGAGAGGCAACCAGCTTCAGAGTATGTGGAGCCATTCAGGCCATATTAAGAATTAGAGACTGATTCCTAAGAGCAATTGGGAAGCTCTCGAAGGGATTTAAGTGGTTGAGTAACATGATCAGATTACATTTATAAAGATTATTCAAATTGTAAAATGAGAATGGACCAGAAAGATTAAGACTGGGAATAGAGAAATTAGTGAAAAACTGATGTAATAATCCAGGGGAGGGATGGTGATGGCCAGGATTAAATTAATGGCTGCAGGAACTAGGAGAAGTAGACAGAGTTGAGAAACATTTAGAAAGTAGATTAGATAGGGGCACCTGGGTGGCTCAGTTGTTGGGCATCTGCCTTCGGTTCGGGTCATGATCCCAGGGTCCTGGGATCAAGTCCCACATCGGGCTCCCTGCTTGGCAGGAAGCCTGCTTCTCTCTCTCCCACTCCCCCTGCTTGTGTTCCCTCTCTCGCTGTGTCTCTCTCTGTCAAATAAATAAATAAAATCTTTAAAAAAAAAAAAGTAGATTAGATAGGCTTTTACTAGATAAAGGGAGATAGAGTGTGATTTTTGTTAAATGTATTAGGTACTCATTCTCCTTTCCTTACCTGTAATACCTATGTCTGTGGGTAGAAATAGTTTCAACAGTGCTAGGGAAGAGGCTCCAAAATGCCTCACCTAGTCTGCATAAGTTACACTTCCTTCATAGCTGATTTAGAGTATGTATTTCCATTCCAGATCTAAAACTACCCAGGAAATCATAATGTACCCTCAAGATTTTAACTTTGCTGTACTATGCAACTTAAACATTTTTATTTTTCTTTATTTAATGCCACAATTGATTCTAATATTTATTTATTAAAGATTTTTATTTGAGGGGGGAGGGGTAGAGCAAGAGGGAGAAAGTTTTTTTTTTTTTTTTTTTTAAGATTTTGTATTCATTTGTGAGAGAGAGAGCGATCATAAGCAGGGGGAAAGGCAGAGGGAGAGGGAGAAGCAGATACCGCTGCTGAGCTGGGAGCTGACATGCGGGGCTCAATCCCAGGACCTGGAGATTATGACCCAAGCCGAAGGCAGATGCTTAACCATCTGAGCCACCCAGGCGCCCCAGAGAGAAAGAGTCTTAAGCAGTCTCCATGCTGAGTGCAGAGGCAGACGTGGGGCTCGATCTCACGACCCTGAGATCATGACCTCAGCCAAAACCAAGAGTTGGATGCTTGACCGACTGAGCCTCCCAGGAGCCCCTAAACATCAGTTAAAAGAATGAGAGCTGACACTGGAAAGTCTCCTCAATACATGCACAGTATTGATGTAGTTTTGGAGTGTTGCTGGGATTCAGAGCCCATGGCCAAGAAAGAATTCTTGAGACATCTTCAGTGCAAAAAGGTGGTTTTATTAAACATGGGGACAGGACCTGTGGGCAGAAAGAGCTGTACTGGGGTCATGAGGTGTGGCCAGTTTGAATAATCTTTAAATTGAAATGTTTGCACTGGGTGTTATGCACAAACAATGAATCATGGAACACTATATCAAAAACTAATGATGTAATGTATAGTGATTAACATAACAAAAAATTAAAAAAAATAAAATGTTTGCTAATCTCACAGTTAAAAGTTAATATATGTATAAAAATTTCTACATGTTCATTTATTGTAGATTTCAGGAATTATTTATTAGGATAATGATAAGTTTATGAAAAGGTTGCTATATTTAGTTGTCTTCATGGTAGAAGTTCATAATTAAGTACAACAAAATAATTTTTTGAGATTTTTGATTAATTGATATAACCATTGTTAAAATCACAGGGAATTGGAAGTTTAATCTATAAAATTTAAATTTACTGAGTTTTAAGTTAAGTAATAGCTTATATTTTAAGCTTATATTTTAATAGCTTATATTTTAATTTAAAAGTTTTCAGATTCTTAGGCTTTCTCAGATATATCAGATGTGATTTACTTGGTTTTTAAAGAAAAACTGGATATTTTATATGTGGTTTTAAAGTGTGTACTATTTCAGTGATTATCTTTATAAAACTGATACCCAACTACATTCTTTAAAGGTTTCAAGTTTGTCTTCTTTAGAAATCTTAATTATATGTTCATCTTCTGTACATGAAATTTGTTATTTTTTCTGGATAGTCTTTCGATCTTTCATAATATTTTCCTGCCCAGTTTTGTTTGCGTGATAAAAACCACATATCCAATATATTTGGTCGAATATATTTTGTATTCTCTTGTATTATTATTAGCTACTCAAAATGACACTTTAAAAAATTTTGTTTAGGTCTACATGAATTTGATGCACTGAAGGATCCTGAAGTGAATGAATTCCGAATAAAAATGCGCAAATTCAGTGAGGAAAAGATTCAGTCGCTTGTGGGATTGTCTTGGATGGATTGGCTAAAGCAGACATATCCACCAGAACATGAACCATCAATCCTTGAAAACTTAGAAGATAAACTTTATGGAGGAAAGCTCATTGTGGCTGTTCATTTTGAAAATTGTCAGGTAGTATTATGTTATTTAAGAAATACATTGTAATAAATCTGTGGTTTTTCCTGAATGCAGCACCAGTCTAGAGGAGATAGCTGGTAAATGTTATTACAAAGAGCATTTTTAGATTTAAAGATGGAAATAAATTTAGGATTATGTATAACAATCAGAAGTGACACATCTTTTGCACCTGTATGATTTTGTGATGCAGTGATGTATTAGTCTAGATCAGGGTTGGAAAACTGCAGTTTTTGAATGGTATGTATGTATTTATGTTATTTATTTAACTATTTTTAAATTTTATTTAAAATCAATTAATTAACATATAGTGTATTATTAGTTTCTGGGTTTTATATTTTAAAGGGATGTAAAAAAAACTCATGGAATTTTTAAAAGATGGAAAGAGAAAGGAAGAGAGAGAGAGGAGGGAAGGAAGGGATGGAGGGAGGGAGGAAGGAATGTGTCACAGGTTGTCAGCAAAGCCTGGTTGTTTACAGAAAAAGATTGCCAACCCCAGCCTAGATAATGTTCTTTAGTGTAGATGTTTTATTTTCTCATTTGATTTTTCTCTTGTATATAAAATGAAAGGTTTGATCAAATGATCTCTTTTTTCCCATATTCTTATATGTGCATTCTGTGAATATGTATTTAAGTGGTGATATGGAAATGGGCATTATATTGGAGTGTATTTACAGTCTATACCTGAATGGTCACAGCTATTTTACAAACCAGATTATGATACTGCCTTTGTATCTAGTGTGGTCATTTTATCATCTAGGATCTAGCTTTAGAATTATGGTAGGAGTTCAAGGATATTTTGTGTTCTTCTTCAATTACTGTGATAACGATAATGACATAAACCATTTCAGTAGCCATTCTATATTGAGCACTTTACCATGCCAAGAACTATGAAAGGTATTTTTAATATATTTTCCACCTTTAAAACAACTCCAAAAAATGTTATCATCCCTATTTTACAGTGAAGAAAATGAAAGGGAGAGAAGTTTTTCTTTCTTTTTTTTTTTGCTGCCAGTCCTTATAGCTGGTCCGTGGTAGAGACAGGATTTTATCCAGGTGTTTCAGTTTTATTCAATTCTGTCTCCTTTCCAACAGTGTGTTTCTAAATATTTGTAAGAACAAATGCAAAAGAAGGAAAGAAGGAGCCGGCCTTCTGGCATTTTACAAAGGAGGTTTATCTAGGTTAAAAAATAAAAATAAAAAAAAAATTTGTTGCTCTCTCCCGAGGTATGTTGAGACTAAAGTTCAGTTTAAATCAAGATTTGGATATTATAAAGTCTCAAGATCAAATTTAAAATACTATTTAGGGAATTCTGCAGTGTTGGAAGAGGTGGAATGGGCAATTTTACCACTGAAAGGTGACTAGCATTCAACTTGAAAACACTGGCTCAGGGCAATTTGCCCATCTAGGTCAGTCTGCATTTCATTACATATGGGTCAGATCTCTACTGGATATACACATTTTAATGTAATCATCATTGTAACAAAGTATATGTGAAAATAAATGTTTTGAAGTTAGAAGAGAAACGGAGATACTGTGAAATCTTACTGGATTCCAAGCAGTCATAGAATTTTTCCCCAAATTCTTTTATTTATTTACTTTTAGTTTTTTAAAAAAGGTATTTTAATCACCTAGTTATCAGCATGACAAGTGCACTCCTTAATCCCTGTCACCTCTTTCACCCATCCCCCTACTCACCTCCCCTCTGGTAACCATCAGTTTGTTCTCTGTAGTTAAGATTTCCTTTTTTGGTTTGTCTCTCTCTGCGGGTTTCTTTACGTCTAAAATGAGTGTCTTATAGGCAGCATATAGATGGGTCTTGTTTTTTTTTTTTTTTTTAAAGATTTTATTTATTTATTTGAGAGAGAGAGTGAGAGAGAGAAAGAGCACAAGACGGAGGAGCGGGAGAGGGAGAAGCAGACTCCCCGCCGAGCAGGGAGCCCGATGCGGGACTCGATCCCGGGACTCCAGGATCATGACCTGAGCTGAAGGCAGTCGCTTAACCAACTGAGCCACCCAGGCGCCCGGGTCTTGTTTTTTTTATCCACTCTGTCACCCTACGTCTTTTGATTAGATTGTTTAGTCCGTTTACCTTCAATGTATTTGGATATATATGTATTTATTGCCATATTAATACCTGCTGTGTGGTTGTTAAGATTTTCTCTGATCCTTTCTTGTCCTTCTCTGTTTCATAGTTTGCTGGTTTTCTTCAGTGATACAGTTGGATTTCTTTCTCTTTATTCTTTGCATATTTATTAGCGGTTTTTGATTTGTGTTACCATTAGGTTTGTATATAACCTCTTCTGCATGTAGCAGTCTCTATTAAGTTGATGGTTATTTAGGTTTGAGCCCATCCTTTATTACTCTCCTTCCCATGTTTTAGGTGTACATTGTCATATTTTATATTCTTTTGTTTTGTGAGTTCCTTGACTGATATTTTACAAAAATATTCATTACTGTTTTTGTGTTTCCTACCTTCATACTTTCACTTTTGGTCTTTCCTTTCCACTGAAAGAGTCCTCTGTGTAGTATTTCTTGCATTGCTGGTTTAATAGTCACAAACTCCTTTAGTTTTTCTTTGAGAAACTTTTTTTTTTTTTAAGATTATTTATTTGACAGAGAGAGACAGTGAGAGAGGGAACACAAGCAGGGGGAGTGGGAGATGGAGAAGCAGGCTTCCTGCTGAGCAGAGAGCCCGATGTGGGGCTTGATCCCAGGACCCTGGGATCATGACCTGAGCCGAAGGCATATGCTTAACGACTGAGCCACCCAGGTGCCCCATGTCTGAGAAACTCTTTATCTCTCCTTTTATTCTGAGTGATAGCCTTGCTGGATAGAGTATTTTTGACTACAGGTTTCTCCCATTCAGCAGTTTGAAAATATCCTTCCACTCCTTTTGGCTTGCAAAGTTTCTGTTGAAAAATTAGCTCATAGCCTTATGGCGTTTCTTTTGTATGTAACTGTCTTCTTGTGTCTCTCTGCTCTTAATATTTTTTATTTATTTCTATATTTTGCCATTTTAATTATAATATGTCTTTGTGTGGGTCTGCTTTTGTTGTTTTTGTTGGGGGTTCTCTGTGCCTCCTCCATCTGGGTATGTTCCCTTCCCCAAATTAGGGAAGTTTTCAGCTATTATTTCTTCAAATAAATTCTCTGCCCCTCTTCTCTGTCTTCTTCTGGGACTCCTGTAATGCAAATGTTATTACTTTTGATGGAATTATTATGTTCCCTAAGTCTGTTATTGTTTAATATAATACTTTTTTCTCTTTTGTTCATCTTGATTATTTTCCGTTACTCTCTCTTCTAGGTTATTTGTTCCTCTGCTTCTTCCATCAAACATGTTTCTTATTTTGTTTATTGAGCCTTTTATATCTGCTATATTTTTCTTATTCTCTGTATTAATGGTCTCACTGATGTTCTCTACTCTTTTCTTATGTCTGGTTAGTATCCTTATGATCATTGCTTTAAATTCTCCATTAGGCATGTTACTTATATTTGTTTTGCTTATATCTCTGGCCTTGGCCTGTTCTTTCACTTGGGACAAATTCCTCTGTCTTCTCATTTTGTCTAAGTCTCTGTGCCTGTTTCTCCATGTGTCAAGAAAGTCAGCTACATCTTCTGTTCTTGTGAGTAATGGCCTTATGCACAAGAGGTCCTGTAGTACTCTGCAGTGTAGTGTTCCCTGTTCCTCATGGCCTGGTGCTTCTAGTAACATCTCTATTGTGTGCTGAGTGGTCTCTGCTATTGTGTCCTGGACACTTTATCCTTCAGGTCAATAGTCTGCAGAGGCTTTGTTTGCCTGTTGTGGGCAGTGTTTGGTCCAGGGTCTGAATGTGGTGCATTTTAACTAGAAGTGTTCTGGTCTGCTTATGAAATGAGATCTGTTGCATTGCCACCAGAACCGAGGCCTCACAAAACTCCTGGGTTGGGAGACATGAGACATGTTGCTGTCAGGGGTTTGGGCTAGTCCTCTGGGTGAGGAGGCATGCTGTGGTGGGACCGAGGCAAGCATGACTGGGAAGGATGGATCCACAAGAGTGTGGGGGCAGGGCTTGGTGTAAGCAAGTTACATGTGAGTGCCAGTGCTGTGTTCATTCCCTCAGGTGGTTCTGTGTTTATGCTGAGGGATAGGGAAGGAAAATGGTGCCAGGCAGTTCCTTTTTTTCCCCCATGGGGTTTCTCTGTAAGGGCTACCTCTCTGGAACTCCTGCCCTGAGTTGAGCAAATATCTTCCCCTCTGTGCACTTTAGGCCCTCTAAAGATCTCTGTTTCCATGCTGTTTCCGTGGGCTGTTTGTTCCACCTTGTTTATAATCCCTCCGGGCTCTCCCTGAACCAAGCCCACTAACTGCAGAATTGCAGACTTTAAGCCCCACTGGTTGCAAGAACTTGTGAAATCGGGCCATCTTTTCTTGCTGGTTGCGCTGTGGACTCCTTTTTCCCTTGGGCTTCTCTGTGTGCTAGTTTGTCTCTTGTTCTTCTGCACTGTAGCAGCTCCCTTTGTACTGCACAGGCCATGATCTGTTTCTCCTCTAAGTCTCATCTCTGCAATTCCCTCCTTCTTCTTTGTGGCTTCTTCTCTACCTTTAGTTGTGGAGTTTGTTCTACCAGTCTTCAGATTCATTTCTGGGTATTTAATTTAGGAGGATTTGATAATTATTTATTGTATTCATGGGACTAGGTGATCTTCTTCTCTTCCTATTCTGCTGTCATCTTCCCCTCCAACAGTCATAGACTTTAATGCTGAAAGTAGTTTGAAGATCATCTAGTCAGATTCTTTCTATAATAAATCTTTTCACCATCCCTTATATAGTGTAGTATCTCTGACCAAAATACATTCAGTACTCGGGGAAGCACTCGGCCTTCTGAAGTAGCATGCTTTCAATTTGGCAAGCACGTACTTAAATTTTGATATAAAATATATTTAAAAATTCAAACTAGCCTTTTATGACTTCTGCCCCTGTGGTTGTCCTTTCTCGTTTATCCATTCAGTCTTCTCTTTATTATACATGTCAAATATTCAGATAGTTGAGATACAGCTATCATAACTCTCCTTAGTTTACTTTTCTTTTAGCTGAGCATTTCCCTGGGGATTAAAAAGTTCCTAGTTTTGTATTGTATAGACTAGTAAAATTATTAAGTTATTAAAGAAATTTGGAAAGCCACATAGAGCTTATTGCTCTTTGTTTACGCAACTAAGACCATTTTAAAAAAAAACAAATTTGGTGCCTGGCTGGCTCAGTCGGTAGAGCATGCAACTCTTGATCTCAGGGTTGTGAGTTCGAGCCCCACATTGGGTGTAGAAATTACTTACAAATAAGATCTTTAAAAAGAAATAAAAATAAAACCTCAGATTCATTATTATTACCAGTACCATTTCGTAAGTGAATAAATATTTCACCAACAAAAAATAAGAATGATGATATCAGAATAAAGGATGGTTAGCATACTGATACATGCATTTTTTTTGCCCTTCCGACTTATATAAAATATTCATTTTGCCATTTCATCATTACTGCTAATGACCAACATTAGGAAGCAGTATGTAGGAACACTAAACATGAGATGAAGTATAACAAAGTACTCTTATAGGTTAAAAAATGGTTTTACAGGATAGTTAGGGGGCAATATAGACAGTAGTTTCTATGAAAAATGTGAAATTTTAGATGACCACATTGTCCGTATCATCCAGCTTAGATTAGGGCTCTTAAGACTTAGCAAGATAAATATAATCATGGAACTATCATGTTTCAGTTTTGAAGAACATTAGTCCCAGCAGCCAGACCAGAGAGGAGTCATTTTTAATTCCAAGAGTCATAATTTGTTAAGGATACCAATAAACCTGAGGATCACTTTCAAACCTGTGTTTTTTTAACCTCAGCCAGCATAAGTTATATGAAATAATTGTATCAATTAAGGGAGAGGGGCACATGGCATTTGAAATAGTCTCCTGTGTGTTAGGGAACAGGGCGGGTTGTGAAGAAGGAAGAAGGAGGTGGAGACTATACTTTTGGGGAATTTCAGAGAATATATCAGAAGCACGGGCAGAAATGTGAGAAACAGTGAAGCCCATACAGTAAAACTATGAAGAGTAAGTATTTCTTCGCCTGTGTAGACATTATCTGAATATCTGATATAGATGTAGTCACAAATGAACTGTATACCTTCCTGCTAAACAGAAGTTTCTGTCCCATCCATATGCGTGTCTTTGTTGGGTAGTCTCTCATGTAGCTGTTCGTAAGCATTGAGCAAAACAATGCAAGTTGACTACTCAGGAAAATTACAGGTCTTTCAAAGGTGCAATATTTTGTGAAGTATTTAAGAGAGATGTTGGAAAATTGCTTGATACAGGAAAAACCAGTTGAGTTCTGACCAAGTCAGCCCAATTAACGGTTTATGTGAAGAAAATTAACATGGGTGATGAGACACACCAGTAGTTCTTCAGAAGACTTGAATGTAATCATCATGATATTATGATTGGTCTTTAAAGGAAAGTTTCGAGCTCTTGGTACTATATACAGTTCCATTATGCAAATGTACAGTTGACCCTTGAACAATGAGTGCCAACCCCTCCATATCCAGAAATCCACATAAAACTTTTGACCCCCACAAAACTTTCCTCCTACTAATAGCCTCCCACTGACTGTAAGTCTTACTGATTTATCATAAATAGTTGATAAACACATATTTGTTATATGTGTTGTATACTGTATTTTTATAGTAATGTAAGCTGGGGGAAGAAAATGTTATTAAAATCATAAGGAAGAGAAAATACATTTATGGTATTATCCTGTATTTATTAAAAAAATCCATGTAATTAAGTGGACCCACGCAGTTCAAACCCATGTTGCTCAAGTGTCAACTGTATTTCCATTGTCTCAGTTGCATCTCTCTAAGAAATGATGATGAGGAATGTCTTTCACATACTTATGAACCATTCATATTTCTGTTGTGTTTGTTTTTTGTCTATTTTAAAATTGTGTCATGTGTATCTTGCTGATTTGTATAAGTTCTTGGTATTTGGGGGTTAGTGAATCTTTGTCATTCATATGTGTTGGGAATGTGTTCTCCCTGTGTGTGGCTTATCTTTCTTATTCTTTGTTTTGCTAGTTTTATTTTGCTTGCTTTTTATCCTCAAATTCTAGTCAGTGTTCAGATTTTCTCAGTTGTTGTGTTATACACATGTATACACACACAGCATATCAAGTTCAACATTGCTTTGTATGAAATAACATCAATTTATGTATTTCTATTAGATATAAACCTAGAAACAGAATTGGTGAGTCATGGGTGTATGTGTGTAATCGGCTTTTAAAAGATAATGCCAAACAGTTTTTCTTTCTTTCTTTTTTTTTTTAAAGATTTATTTATTTTGAGAGAGAGCGCACGTGCACGAGCATGCTTGCACAAGCAGGAGGGGCAGAGGAAGAGGGAGAGAGAATTCCAAGTAGACTCTGGCTGAGTGCAGGGGCTCAGTGTGAGGCTCAATCTCATGACCTTGAAATCCCGAACTGAGCTGAAACCAAGAGTCGGTTCTTTAACCGACTCCGTCCCCTCAGGTGCCCCCCAAACAGTTTTTCAAATTTATATTCCTACCAGAAATATTTTCAGTTTAGTTTCTTCACATCTATGCTAACACTTGATATTGTCAAATTTAAAAAATCTTTTAAAACTTGCCATGTTTGTTTTCATTGAGTTTTAAATTTCACTTAATGTGTTTTATTTCTTGGAGTTCTCTTTGATTATTCTTCAGATATATTTGCTCTTTATTAATTTTCAAACTACCTTTAATTCTTGACACACATTAACTAAACTTGTTTTATTTTCTGAGTATTACTTGTAATATCTGCAGTTTTTCAAGCCCAGTTCTGATTTCTGGTCTTTTTTGTAAGTTCTTGCTATCTGATAATGAGTGTGTCCTCTAGTTTTGTATTTCTAAAAAGTTTATTTATGGGGGTGCCTGGGTGGCTCAATCAGTTAAGCGTTTGCCTTCCACTCAGGTCATGATCCCAGGGTCCTGAGATCGAGCCCCGCATCGGGCTCCTTGCTCTGCAGGGAGCCTGCTTCTCCCTCTCCTCCCCACTTGTACTGTCTCACTGTCTCTCCTTCTCTCTGTCTCTCAAATAATAAATAAATAAATAAATAAATAAATAAATAAATAAATAGTTTATGAAATAGAGAGTAAATGGGAACTTTAAATAATTTTATGATATATTAAGGAGTATAAGGCCTTATTATTCAGACCTGTGCTGTTTAAATGGAGTAGCCACTAGCCACATATGTACATTAATTTTAAATTTAAATTAGTTAAACTAAGTAAAATTAAAATTCAGTTCTTCACATTAGCCACATATCAAGTTTCTCAAGAACCACTGTGGCTAAGAGGCTGTTGCATTGGACATTCCATTTTTAAAGAGTTTTATTGGGTAGCACTGCTTTAGACAGTTATGACCATTTGTGTTATGTTAAAAAAGTATCATATCTCTTTGTGACTCTCTTTTTTTTTTTTTAAAGATTTTATTTATTTATTTGAGACAGAGAGAATGAGAGAGACAGAGAGCACATGAGAGGGGGGAGGGTCAGAGGGAGAAGCAGGCTCCCCGCCGAGCAGGGAGCCCGATGCGGGACTCGATCCCGGGACTCCAGGATCATGACCTGAGCCGAAGCCAGTCGCTTAACCAACTGAGCCACCCAGGCGCCCTGTGACTCTCTTTTTAAAGGTAGATTACTTTCTAAGGTAGATGAAGGTTTTGAGGTGGATAGTGCAAGGAAATTAAATAAGAAGCTATATTGCTCTTTAGGAGAAAGATGAAGAATTGCTGAAGTAGAAGAGTGTTATTGGAGATGGAGAGGAGGTGACAGTTGGCAACCCAAGGATATGAGATCATTGGTATCTTATTGGGAAGTGAGACTTCTCAAATGACTCTGTGGATCCTGGCTCATATGCTTTGATGCATATTGCACCAACTCATATAGAAAATTAGGAAAAAAAGGGTAAAAAAACGAGAGAAAATAGATTGGAACACCCAGTAAATTTAGGTTTAAAATGTTGGAATTTGAAGTACCTTGTGGAAAAGGGAGATGACTTAACTTAGTGGAAATAGTGCAGAAGCAATCTCCAGTCAGTACGGAGAATTTTTTAACAATCACAGCCAGGGTAGCAGTTGGCTGCTTTAGGAGATAGTGAATTTTCTTAAATTCTTGGTATGTGATCATATGGTGGGAAATAATTTTGCTAGATTATGAGAAGTTTCAGATGTTAAGTAATCTTTAATATCTGTACATTTGGGATTTATGATGAGCAGATTTGATAATATTCAATCCTGACTATATCCTCGTTTTGCATTAATGAAAGCTTCTTTGTTTCTTTTTCCATGTTTATAAAATTGGACTGAATTGTTCAGTTATAATTTAGTTGTTATATAGATCTCTTCTTACTAGTGACAACATAAAATTCTTAGTATGGACTACATTTGAACAACTACAGGTTTTTTGGTATCTTTTTTAAAGAAAATATTAAAAATATAAAGATATTCACTGAGAAATGTATTTGATCAACTCTCTGGTGGTAAACTTTCGTTAAATATACACTTTAGTTAAATATGAATCTTACCTGTGGGATCTGTAGCACTTTGTATAGTGTAAGATGACTTGCAGATTACCAGAAATCTTAATTTGTTGTGGACATATTATATTTAGAGAATAGGAAAATGTACTGGAATGTTAAATGTAAAGTGTATACATATGTAATATATGTATGTACATATTATGTATGGCTATATACAATATAGTAATAAGTATAAATGTAAAGAGTGGGTTTTTTCAGCACAAATATAAAATTCCTCCTTTTTTCTATCCCCCTTTTTAGGATGTGTTTAGCTTTCAAATATCTCCTAATATGAATCCTATCAAAATAAATGAACTGGCAATCCAAAAACGTTTGACTATTCATGGGAAAGAAGATGAAGTTAGTCCCTATGACTATGTGTTGCAAGTCAGTGGGAGAGTAGAATATGTCTTTGGTGATCACCCACTCATTCAGTTCCAGGTATGTGTATTAACTATCAATTTTCCAGAGAAGGGTGTGTGTGTGTGTGTGCACGCGCATGTGTGTATTTAACAATTTAAATTTCTGATAAAAATGTATTGTTATAGTCAAGTATTTAGAACCTACAGAAAATTGTACAAAATTAAATAATAGATACTCATAATCCTACCCACCTCTGAGATAACTATTGTTAAAATTTTGGCATGTTTTTGTTGTTTACTTGCAGTTATACATATATATATTTTTGGAATAATGATTATATATTTAATGTATGTATCTAAATGTTTCCTTTCTACTTTTTTGGTTGTTTCAGTGTTATATCATCATTTCCTGTGGCATAATGAATTATTTTTTATTTTTTATTTTTTAAAGATTTTATTTATTTATTCGACAGAGAGAGACACAGTGACAGAGGAACACAAGTCGGGGGGGTGGGAGAGGGAGAAGCAGGCTTCCCGTAGAGCCGGGAGCCCGATGTGGGGCTTGATCCCAGGATCCCAGAATCATGACCCAAGCCAAAGGCAGATGCTTAATGACTGAGCCACCCAGGCTCCCCTCTTTTTTATTTTTTAAAGCTTTTATTTATTTGCGAGAGAGTGCACAAGGCGGGAGGGCAGAGGGAGATGGAGAAGCAGACTCCCTGAGCAGGGAGCTGAGCAGGGAGCTGGACGAGGGTCTCAATCCCAGGACCCTGGGATCATGACCTGAGCTGAAAGCAGATGCTTATCCGACTGAGCCACCCAGGCACCCCGGCATAATGAATTCTTAATAAAATTTGCTAATGCCTTCTATGTTATCATATAAACATAATAATTAGGTAGGAAATATTCTGGGGGAAGTAAAATACAAGATTTTTATTAAATGGTTACTAATTAAATTGTATAAAAACTTATTTATGATTATCCGTTAACAAGGTCTTAATACATTTTCATTGTGAATTAGAAAACTTCAGTTTCAGTCTAACATTTTATATGTATAATTGCCTTTCCCTCTGCTTTTTGTTACTTCCATATATGGTAGAAAGTTTGTAAGCATAAGGTCTGACCATCCTCAAAAGCTTTCCTCCATCTTTGACATACATATTTCCATGCAATCATGAGTTCCTTGAGTATAGTGCCTCAGATTGTTTTTGGAGTAAAGTGGAGTTTAAATAAGGTAAGTGAGGGGCGCCTGGGTGGCTCAGTTGGTTAAATGGCTGCCTTTGGCTCAGGTCATGATCCCAGGAGCCTGCTTCTCCTTCCCTGCTTGTGTGCTCTCTTTCTCTGTCAAATAAATAAATAAAATCTTAAATAAATAAATAAATAAATAAAGTAAGTAAATGCAGTGCAACACCCCTCCCCCACCATGAAGTGTGCTATTTATCAGATAGATCCTGGCTTTGCCTTTAAGAAACTTGAAGATATTTTTGTTGAAATTACATTTGGAGACTAAAAAATGGTCATTGCGTAAAGAATAAAGGCAAAATGCCAAGTTAGAGGTAAATAGTAACAGGATTTTAGAAAAATATGTCAGTACTCTTGTTTTTTATTGTTTTGTTTTAAGCAAGGATACAGGCATGCCATATATTAAGTGATGGCTGACAATAAGGAGCTGTGATTTTTTTTAACCTTAATTAGTGGAGGGCATATTATTTTGCCACAACTAGGATTTGTGGGGTTTTTTGTTTGTTTGTTTTTTAGGATTTGTTATTATAAAGAAAATTAAAGGCTTGTATACGTTTTGTACAGGGTCATAGGAGAGAGAAAGTATACCATGTAGGTAAAGGAATGTGAAGGAAGTATAATGATACATATTTCATAGTGAAAAACTTTTGATTGAATATATTTATCATAATATGTAACTTCTACTTACAGACCATTCTGGAATTTTTTAAAATTTCAACAAAAAAGTATTTTGTGGTTCTGAATTGAATATAATATGTTGAATCTATATAGGAAATTTATTCTTCTGAGGAAATATTAAATTTCTTTCTATTCAGTTTGTTAGGCATCCCCGGTAATGTGAGTAACCACCCCTTTTCTTATATGCCTTTGGAGAGTCATTCTGGTCTCATGGAAATAAAGCAGAGTATCAAGCTAAGGTGGCCAGTATGTTTTTGCAAGGGAGATAGTAATGCTTGTCTTCTGGAGCCCTGTTCTGTAAAGGTACCAGGTCTGCCTCAGGGATCCATGGGAAATTCTAAGATGACCACCTCAGGATGTGAAGAAATGGCCACATACGTACTACATGTCCACTTTTCCTGACTGATTGGTCAAAGCTTGCACTGTGATATCACAGTCTTTACCAATCAAGTCCCACCCTTAGAAAGGTGAGCCAGTTGGTCAAAATGTTAGGTATTAAGAGCAAAGAGAAGGCAAAACATCTAGACTGAGGTATATATTTCTTAAAGGTTTAGCAAAAAAAAGGTAGATTTAAAGATACCAGCTATAAAGATGCCAGGTATGTAACTTAGCTCTTCTGACTTTTAGTTCTTTCATCTATTAAAGGGAGGAAAATCTCTCTTATAGTGTTGTTAGGAAAATTAGCTATAAATATAAAAAGTAGCTAGTTCTTAGGTACTTAGGTGTTCAATTAATGGTGGCTATTTTATATTGTGATTTTAATTTCTCATATTCTTGACATTAGTTAAGATATTTTCATAGTACATTGGTATAGTGGTGTTCATTTAATATTATTCTTATGTCGATTTAAGTATTTGCTTGAAATCTTTTTTTTTTTTTTTTAAGATTTATTTATTTGACAGACAGACACAGTGGGAGAGGGAACACAAGCAGGGGGAGTGGGAGAGGGAGAAGCAGACTCTCCGTGGAGCAGGGAGCCTGATGCGGGCCTCTATCCCAGGCCCCTGGGACCATGACCTGAGCCAAAGGCAGATGCTTAACGACTGAGCCACCCAGGCACCCCTGCTTGAAAATCTTTACCTTATTCTTTCTTGCCACTATAGTATATCCGGAACTGTGTAATGAACAGGACCTTGCCCCATTTTATGCTTGTGGAATGTTTCAAGATCAAGAAGATGTATGAACAGGAAATGATTGCCATAGAGGCTGCCATAAATCGAAATTCATCAAACCTTCCTCTTCCTTTACCACCAAAGAAAATGCGAATTATTTCTGTAAGTTTCATGTGTGAACCTTTGGTAACCCAGAAAGCATGTAATTTTGTTAGGTTGTGTGCTTAAGCCTCACATATTTTCTCTGCTCACTTCTCCTTCTGTGAAAACCAATGCACATTTGCCAAAGATCCATTACCATTTATTGGTAATTATCTTTCTAGCTACTATTCTTTTTCCTCAGCTCAAGCTACATATAAATGTAAATATGCTATTTCTGGTTTTGGTGTTATTTTGGTATCACAAAAAATGACACCAAATTAGAGATTTCTTGAGAGTACAGCCAAACGTAGACTTCAGTGAGCAATTTGAGAAATTTGAGACATTCTAGTAGAAAAGTTAGATGTGCAAAATAGTTGATGTTCTCGCGTATTTCATTTCTGTCAGCTTAGCTATGATAACATTTTTGGTATAACTTGCCTTCTTCTTACTAAATACTTTTAGAATTTAGATATATCAAAGATATCATTTTTTCCAGAATATAATATATTTATATAAAGCAAATCCTAAGTTTCTGTTTATTGATTGGAACGGTTAACATTTTTAATAGTTATTCAGTTTTAACAAGTTGTATGTTTAATCTCTCCTTGATGATTAAGATATTAACTGTATATTAATTTAAATGGTCAATTCTTAATTCATCCAAATCTTTAATACTATTTGTTTATGGTGTTTAATTTAGTGAATCTCTTGGCAGTATTGGAATGCTGCCTGTGTTTTGCCATAAGAAATAAGTGCTAGTGGTTGTGGTGCTTAATTTAGTATATGTGATTTTCAGTTGTTAGTTCAGAGGCCTGTTTTCATTATTTTGCTAATGGACATGAGAACAGATAAGATGATTTCATTGCTAGCATAGAATATTTATGTCTTTAATTAAAATACTCTATTTCATTCTTTTGCAGCATGTTTGGGAAAATAACAACCCTTTCCAGATTGTCTTGGTTAAGGGAAATAAACTTAACACAGAAGAAAGTGTAAAAGTGAGTACTTGTTAAGATTTGAGTTTTTTTTTTTTTACGTGCTCCATTGTTAATATTTTTGAAAGATTTATTTATTGACTTTAGAGAGAGAGAGAGCACACACAAGCACTTGAGGAGGGGGAGAGGCAGAGGGAGAGGGAGAGAAGCTGGCCCCATGCTGAGCCCGGAGCCAAATGCAGCCTGATCCTAGGACCCCAGACCATAACCTGAGCGGAAACCAAGAGTTGGCCGCTCAACCGACTGAGTCACCCAGGTGCCCCTATCTGCTCCATTATTTGAATAACTTACTGATATGAGTGAGTTATTCACTCAAAATGAATATTCAATGACGGTTACATTGGAGATTAAATTTTCCCTATATTGGTCAATTATACAAGATAGAATGGTATAGAACTTAATGGATAGAATGGATAGAACTAATATAAGACAATTAAGGATTTTTGTTTTAAAGTATTCTTTGAATAGTTGGAGATGTACTGGATATAGTGACATTTTTCCTGTATGTATTATGTAAAAGAACTTGCTTTAGATCAGGAATTCAGCAGATACAATTTAAGCCAAAACTATAGGTCACAGATTCCTATGCAAGCTTCACTCTCCTTTGTCAGCCTTGTTTAGAGCTGCACTCAGCCTCCTTTCTCAGACCTTTCCCTTTCTTTTAAACTTGTTGAACACAGAGAAAATGTAATACCATTTCCTGGAAGAAAATAGATGACTACATTATGGACCACAAGTTGTTAACACCTGGCGATTTATTACATAACCCCATACAATTAAGTAAAGATTTAACAAGGCTTTTTGTCTCAAAGTATAAAGCACGCATTTTCCCCTATTTTGCTTGGCAGGAAATTAAGTGAATAGTTTTGTGATCCAAGAAAAGATTCACTTAGTTTGAGATATTTGCTGGCATGAGGATATATTCGGGAACACCTTGCCAAAGATTATACCAGTGGCTTGCTATTATAAATGGACTTTAAAGATTCTTTGGTTAGCTGTCATTAAAATAGGGCTTTTTTTTGGGGGGGGCGGGGCTCTTATTTTCTCAGCTAGGATTTAATTTTAATGAGTATGCTTATGGCCAGTTAGCCTTTGTTTTCTGTTTTAGTGGTAATTCAATTTTTTCCTTTAATTTAAACTTTCCTTATTAATTTTTGTCTAGTTGCAGAAGTATAACATGATTGTTGGGACAGGTAAAATAGTTCAAACACCATGAAAGAAAAAAGTTACTGATCTTTTTTCTCTTACAAATTGACTTGAGAAAGCTTCCTCTTATCAATTTTCTGAATAAGCTTATATAGGATTAGTATTATTTCTTCCTTAAATATTTGTAAGATTTACTCCAAGCCATCAGTCCCTGGAGTTTTCTTTGTGGGAAAGTTTTTTTTTTTTTAAGATTTTATTTATTTGATGGAGCGTGAGCATGAGTAGGGGGGAGGGGTAGAGGGAGAGGGAGAAGCCAACTCTGCTGAACAGGGAGCCTCATGCGGGGCTTGATCCCAGGACTCTGGAATCATGACCTAAGCCCAGGGCAGATAGCTTAACCGACGGAGCCACCATGTGGGAAGGTTTTTAATTAGAAATTTAATTTCTCTCTCTCTTTTTTTTAAGATTTATTTATTTGAGAGAGAGGGAGACTGAGCAAGTGTGCGGGGATGGGGCAGAGGAGAAGGAGCGAGAGAATCTCAAGCAGACTCCCCGTTGAGCATAGAGCCTGACGTAGGGCTCCATCCCACAACCCTGAGATCATGACCTGAGCTGAAATCAGGAGTCAGATGCTTAATCAACTGAGCCACCCAAGCATCCCTAGGAATTTAATTTCTTTAATGGATAGTCAGATTTTCTACTTCTTTTGTGTCAGTTTGGTAATTTTTGTCTTTTGAAGAATTTGTTCTAAGTTGTTATACTTTTGGCATTACGTTTATAATAGCCCCTTAAATTAGTTCTCCATTGCTGTTTAACAAATTACCACAAACCTAGCAGCTTGGATGCCTGTTTATTAGCTTGCATTTCTGTTGGTCAGAAGTCTGGGCATGGTGTGGCTGGGTTTTCTACTTACGTTCTTGCAAGGTTGAAATCCAGGTTAGTTGGGTTGTATTTCTTCCTGAAGGCTCTGGGGAAGAATTTGCTTCCAAGGGGATTCAAGTTACTGGCCAAATTCAGTTCCTTGAATGTTGTAGAATTGAGGTTCTCATTTCCTTGCTGGGTCTTGGTAGGGGATTGACTGGGGATTACTCTCCATTACTAGAGGCATCTTTCATGCCTCACTGTGTGGCTCTCTCTATTTTTAACTCTATAGAAACGGAGAATTTCTCAAGCATCAAATCCTCACACTTTGAATTTCTTGCCAGGAAGAGCCTGGTGCCTTTTAAAGGTCTCACCAATGCATCAGGCCCATGAAAGATAATCTCCTTTCCTTAAAGTCAGTTATGTCAAATAGTATAACCTAATCACAGGAGTGAAATCCATTATATTTAGAGTCCCAGAGATCTTAGAGAGCACACGAATGTCTTGACCAGGTGAGTGTGCTTAGAATTCTGGAGCATATTGCTTCCTGATCAGTCTTTTCTTAGCCTTGTAGTGTTTTACTTTTCAGGTATATATCTTAATATTCAGGAGAAGCCTGAACTCAATGCTGTCCCAAATCTAGAAGATGACATTAGTGCACACAGAACTCAAGAAGCCCTCTAGTTAGAGCTCTCAGGGGAAAGAGGTTGTCTTCTAACTCTCAGAGAGAGTGAGAATTTCCCTACTTTTCCCCTCTGTTACTTGTTTCCTGTTCTTCTCTGTTGTCATTTGCCCCAGTTTCTAAGAAGTCCTGTGGCAGCAGCAGCAGCGATGGGGACAGGCCTAAAATGCAGAGTTGAACCTTCTCTGATTAGAGGGGTTGTAGAGAGAATGGGGCAAATCCTCACAGGCTTTTTTTTCTTTTTCTTCTGTTTGGCAGGAAGTGTGGGTGAATAAAGCTTTAGCTTTCTGGCCGGGTGATTAAAAAAGGGGAGCCCTAGGCAACCAAAAAAATACTTGGATGATTGAAGAGTGGGAAGAGCTTGGGAAAGCAACTTCTTAAAGTTGTTTATGCTTATAGGTTTATTCCTGAGCTGTACTTAATGCGAATCTGAGTCTGAACTCCTATGTACTTTGAAAACAGAACTGTAGCATATGCTCCCACCAGGTCTCAGTCTGGTCACTGTATGCTGCACACAGAGGACAGATCCAAGAGCTCTGCAAAGGATTTTGAAAACTGAGCTGGTATTAGAACCATAGCTTCAAGGGGCTTGTTGCAACTTGTAGTCTGAACTTAACCATTGTCTCCTAAAACATCAACATTCTCTGTAGGATATAAACAAAACCCAGAGTCTTATAACATAGTGGTCATAATGGTCTAGGATGCAATTTAAAATTAATTGGCAAATAACCAGGAATATCTCAAGTTCTATGGATAATGATAATCAATAGGTGTCAGTGCTCAGACGACATAGATCTTAAGTTATTATGTATAAAAATGCTCCAAGTAAGGGCAAACACAATTGAAAGGGATGGAAAAATAGTTTCAGCCAAGAAATAGAAGATAAAATGGGAACCATGTGGAAAATTTAGAACTGAAAAATACAATAACTTATCATTTAAAAACTCATTGAATGGACTTAGTAGTGAAATGGTAATGAGAAAGGAAAGAGTCAGTGAATTTTAAGATTAATAAAAATAATTTCCGGGGCGCCTGGGTGGCTCAGTCAGTTAAGCGTCTGCCTTCGGCTCAGGTCATGATCTCAGGGTCCTAGGATCGAGCCCCACATCAGGCTCCCTGCTCCGCGGGAAGCCTGCTTCTCCCTCTCCCACTCCCCCTGCTTGTGTTCCCTCTCTCTCTGTCTCTCTCTCTGTCAAATAAATAAATAAAATCTTTAAAAAAAAAAAAATTCCAATTTGAACAAAATAGAGAAAAATGATTGAGGGAGAAAAAAACTTTATAGCTTCAAATACCTGTGTGTAACAATATCAGAAGGTTGAACATGTGTAATCTGAGTTCCAGAAAGAAAAAGAATACAGTTCAGAAAAACTATTTAAAGAAATTATCATTGGGAGCTTTCCTGGTGAACGACATAGATATAACAGATTCAAGAAGCTCAGTGAACCACAGATAGGATAAACCCAGAGAATTTCAAGCTCACGTACATCTCATAGCACACTTAGTCAAAAATCATAGCACCTCATAGCCTACTTATATGGGTGTCAGCACACCTAAACTGTTAAAATATATATATAACCTCAGGAAAGAAGGAAACTATCTTAATTTTTTTCTCTTCTTATCAGTGCCTGGAACACTAATTAAATATTTGTGTTATGAATTAATACATTTTAGTGTAACTATCTCTAACATCTTTATATTCTTAGTTAAAGATAGCATAACACTCCTCCCAAAAGCCAGAACAAATCTGCCTCTTTACAAAGTGATGCCCTTCATGAAACCATGGGAATTTCAACTTATTCATCTCACTTGACCTTTTTTTGTGTCTCATATCTAAAGGTAGAAAGTAGTGGATTTTGGCCATTATTACTGAACAAGAAGGAAATTAGATGTAATGTTGGGAAAAAGTTTCATGTCTTGCCCAACACAGAAACATTTTTAATTGTTGAATTCAGGAATTGTGTGTGTAGCTTTGGCACATCCTTGCTGTAGCACAGTGGAAAGTTCTTTGCATGATAAAGCCTGCCTTTTCTTGTTCTCCAAATGTTCTGGGGCTTGTGAAAAAGGGTCTCTGGAAGTTTACTAAAGTTGGACAATAAAACATGACTGTGATAAGCATGATGGTGCTTTAAAATTCTTTTCACAGCCTGAAGATGATTCAGACCAAGCATCAGGGAATGGGACAATTTTGACAAAATTCCATGTGATGCAAGTTCAGAGTATAGTTTTGCTTACTGATTTTTCTGAAAACAAAAACTTCTCTTTAATTCTGCTACTATGGGAGATTCTAAGTTCAGAAAACACAGGGGTTCCACTT